GAAATAGAATCCAAGGAGGTGCTGGAACCAATTACTACTATTCCTTGAACGGGTAAAAGTTCTCCACACAAACCACTTAAAGTGTTCAGACTCTCTTCTCTCAATTTCTCCCTCCTGAGAGGCAGTGAAGTGAGCAAGGAATGGAAAATTAAGAAAAAAGAAAGACTTGGCAACTTCTTTCTCACATCCTGATTAGTAGGATCTTTCATGAAGTAGCAGAAATAACCTGAATATCATCTTTTTTTCCCCTGACCTTAAAGATGGGTAAAATTAAAAAGAGAAGCCAATTTCTCAGTAATTACTGAGGACTTACCTACTTACACAATTCTACTCATTCCCAAGTTATTAAAAAAAATACTAAATCTGTCTTTGATGTCATATATATGTATATATTTTAAAATTGAATCATTGAATAGTCTGTAGGAGGAAGGAGACAAGATAATAAGAAAGCAGAACTAGCATTCCTTGAATGAGTCATCGATATGTATTGACTTAGCAGAGTATGTCTATTTCTTGAAAGAGGAGATATACCAAAAGCTCTCTATATCTCAACAAACACCCCCTCCAACACACACCTCCCAGTCTAGACTAATCAGCCCATATACATATGCATACATACATGTGTGCATATACATGTGTGTATATGCATGTGTGTGCATGCATGCATGTATGTATATATATACACACACTACTGTGGCAAGAGATAAGGGTTGTGATTGGCATATGCAAATTATGCTCTATAAAGTCAAAGGAAGGAAACTGAGTCCATAACAGGGGCCCAAAGATAAAATCTTGAACCAAGAGTCTTTAACTAAGGATGAGAGGGAAAAGCCTGAGAAGACTGGGCAGGGCCAGCAATAGTGAGGTAACAAGAGCAAAAGAGGAAGATGGAGCGAGCATGGTGTCTATGAAATCATGGCTAAAAACTAACAAAATCTGAATTCATTCTTCAACCTCCACCTCTGTTTTTTGCTGGGGTTCCTCATTCAGCAAAGCCAATCTGAATCAGAAGGCAAAAGAATGAGCTGGTGAGGTCTCTTCTGATCAGAAATTCTCATCACAGAGCAAACGAGAGGAGGGTGGCATGTAACTCCGCAAGACAGCGTCAAACACCTAGCTCAGAGGAGCACAGATCGGGATCACTCCCAGGAGAGGGACTATTTTATCATGGACATCTCTATTTAGATTAGGTCTTCACTCACGACTTTCCTCAATACCACAGAATCAGCTCCCACTGTTTGTGGTCCACACAGCTGCCTTTTCTTTACACTTAACCCTTCTATCACTGCGATGTATTTTATAGCCAGTTAGGTATATATTTGCTCCATAAATAGGTTCTGAGATCTTCTAGAAAAAAAGCCATGTGTCTGAATCAACTCTGTATTTCCTGTGCCCAGCACAAGTAACAATCACCCACTTTTTGTTAAATTGGATGTAAATAATTGCATCCATCATCTGAGTAATTCACCATATCAGGGAGCTCTGCTGGGTCTGAAAACTACCCTGTGCATTCTTACCACTCTCAATTTGTCTAGTAACCTGCACCTTCATACCCACGCATCTGAAAAGAAGAGATTATTTTATCATCCAGATGATACAGGAAAGTGAAGTGCAATGTAATTATCCAGGAACCAATGGAATAACCTGATGCTTGCAGCAATGTGGATATTTACTAGACAGCATCCTTCTTTTAACTTATTAAATACCAGTATTCAAAACCATTCAGATTCCAACATCAAACATTTTCCTGGTTGAGCATCCCCTCCTGGTGCAGCGGTTGAGCGCTGGGCTGCAAAGCTGCCTGCAGCCTCTGCAGCACCGGTTCGATCCCCGGCTGCCGGGTGAGGGTCCCACAAGGCACGCAGAACTCTCCTGCCACCCACTGCTCCCTCAGCAGTGTACTTCATCAGTCTGCCTGCTCTGCTCTCCACTCTGGCTCTGGTGAATTCTCTCACCCTCCCGCGCTTCTGACTGTACCCAGTGCTTGTATGAATAAATAAATAAATCTTTAAAAAAAAAAAATTCCTGGTGACTTTTCTGCCCAAGATACCTTTGTCAAAGAAGTTCACACTTGTGGCTCTTTCAATGATCAGAAGATCTCCACAAGGGAAGGGATTACTATCTGCCTCTTGTAATCAAGGAAATTGAGGCCAAGAAAGTTTAAGAGATGTCATTTTCAAGTGGCACATAAACACAATTCTTTTCATTTTGACCAAGGTCCCCTTCTTATTAAATGAAAGTGATTTTTCTTAATCTGAGAAATAAATGCATGTAATGTCTAAGAATATAAAGAGAATGCTTAGATTGTTGATCCTTGGTTTTGTTTCCATTAAATACATAACTACAAAAAAAAATACGTAACTACAAACATGTTCAAATCTAATATTGCTTTTTTTGTTGTTATTTGGAAGGCAGAAAGAAATATTTTACTTTTACTTTTTTTTTTTTACTAAAGAATAAAAATAAATGATTACCAGAGCTGTTCAAATGAAAAGCCACTAAAACACAAATTAATAAACTTTAAAATAACAATCATGGTAAATAGTAGGCTATGTGACCTTGAACATTTTCTTGTGCATTTTACTATAAATCTAGGAAATTGCAAGTCATTGGTTAAAGTTCATGATAATGTGTTTTTATGAGAAGGACTGAATGTCATTCTGAGAAGACAGAAAGTTTGTTTAGCAGCTAAAGGAAAACATTAGAAAGCAAATAGATTCTGGTAGAGAAAAGTAAAATTGACATGATTTGTAGCTCTGGGTGCCAACTTCATTAATTAATACAGACTTTAAATGCCTTTCAAGAATATGAGCTACAGGACTAGCATTACTGCTGGTGTAGATAGTAAATACAGATCAAATGGGTTTCATTTAAAATATGGTGGCTTCAGATAAGACTAATTAGCAGGATGACAAAAACAGTCAATAAAATAGAAACAAATCTTATTGTTCAATTCTGGCAACAATTAGTGGAATTAATTGGAAACTGTTCCTCTTGCCCACTCGCATATAAAAACTGCACTCCAATATTGGTTTTGGCATTTTTTATCATTTTCTTGTGTTGTAATAATACGAATCTTGTTCTATGTGACCAGAGATGCTAATGGCATCAGGGAAAGAGGGACGGGGTACGCGTGGTTGGGGGACAGGGTTATGGAATGACAGAGAAAACAAGAGAGGGGCTTAAGGGGGCAGACACATGTGAAAGATAGGAATCTACTAGTGAATAACAACAGATTTTGTGTTGGTTTCATGCATATTTTCCAAAGCAAGGTTATCTATTCTATCTCTTTTGAGGGCTCTCAATTTCCTGATTATTTGTTCTTTTAGTTATATATGCTGTGTAACCAACTATGGCCAAACCTTAGCAGATCTTAATAATATATATATATTTTTTAATTTGCTACAATTCTATCTTTGGGGCAGATCTCAGCAAAAGTGGCCTGTCTCTGTTCATGGAGCATCAGCAACTTGACTAAGGATGAAGACCCGATTCTAAGACCATTTAACATGCGTGGCCAGCAAATTTATATGAACTGCCAGGGGGGAGCTCATCTTGGCTTATTTGCTGGGGCTCCATTCTCCATATGGGGTCTCTACATGGTGGGTCAGGATTCTTATCCCATGTGAATTCTCCAAAAACAGAGGTGAAAGTACCTAGATCTTGTCTTAGGACTGAAATGTGAATAGTGAGATTTTAGCCACATTTCATTATGAAAGCAGGTCAAAGCCTTGATTCAAGGGAGGGGGCCATAGGAGGGCTTGAGTATTGACAGATATGGGGTCACTAAGATCACCAAAAGTCAGCCTACTTTCTGTAAAAGTAATGACTGACATTGGGCAACTATACTGAGTTTTCAGATTCCTGACAATGTTAAAACAACAGTCTAACAAAGGCTCAATATGACTCTAACACCTTACTGCATAATTCACATCACCCCAGATTCATAATCTACAGAATATAAAATAACATCATCCACCTAACGTGGGGACCCTGATATGAGCAACTTTCCCTCAATTTTTTGAAATATTTCTTTATAAAGGGAAATTCACCAGCCAGATTATTGTAGATCGACTTATGTTTCTCTATCTCCATAAAATATTTATTTAGTTCCATGCTACGTCAGCAAAAACATGCCATTCCTGATGTATAGGGTACATTGCTATATATGGGGACATGTTACCTATTCCTGGTGTACAGGGTACAATGGTATATATGCTGAAAGTGTGCCATGTTTTAAAACAGAGTCTTCAAGTATCAGTCTCATGGATTTGGACTATCTGAGAAAAATAGTTTATGGAAGAATTTTCAGCTTTAACTAATTTTTGCCCATAACTAATATAGCCCTCCAAGACTTGTATTATGGAAATACAGAACAAAGTGATGTAGGAGAAAGAACAAGCAATCTTAATTAAATTTAAGTCACAGATAATTTTCTATTTATTTGGGATAGTGCCCACCACCACAATCACTAAGCCTTAGTTTCTTCATCTTTGATAATCTAAATGAGGATAAAGTAAAATAGGACAAAATAAGAAACATGAAGTGCATCCTATGCTGCAAAGTATTATACAAAAGTACTGCTGCAATAGGATGGCACATAAAGGTCTATTTTAACCAACTCCATCAATCTTGTTTGTTTGTTTTGTTTTGTTTCTGGCAAATGCTTTAGCTGATGATCTCACACACTGGGACTGCAGAGTCCTACTGCTCACATGCTCACTGCAGGTGTTCTGAGAACTCCATATAAAGAACATAGTTTAGGATTTTTACAGATGCTAAAGAACCAGAATATAAATGCTAATTATGGGTAAGAAAGCCACTGAAGAGATGCTAAATGTGGAGTATAGGGTCTCCAGGACACTTGACATTTTCATTAAGAAAACTCTTGCAATTACCTGAGCCTCACCTGGTCATGCCTAAAGATGAGAATTTGTCCTTTTTCATAAACCATGTAGATTTCTCTCTGAGAATATCAAATCATAAAACACTGAATGAGCCTTGAGCTTCACATTTTCGTAGGCATTCTCTGGAACCTATGAGAAAGGTATAAGCTGTGTTCAAAGTTCTTGAGGAATGTATGGTCCATGACCACTTTTAAATGGCCTGTGATGCCACTAACATGGAGTAGTAGCCCGGGCTGAATGGGACAGGTGGGGATGGGCAGGAGCTACAATAGCTTCAGGAAGGTAGAGACAAACCCTGCTCGGGCAATAGGAAAGACTAGCTGAAGAGAACTAAACATCCATTTGTATGTAAGCATTAGGAAGGGACTAAATCCATTTGTATGTAAGCATTAAGAAGGGGCTGACTTCTTAAGAAGTAGTTTATGGACTTTTATAGGTTCTTAAAGATTAAGATGCTCAGAGAGAGCTGCAAAGGAGGTATTTAAGATGAAGGGAGAAACTGGAGACTGGATGACCAGAACTGATGGTTCCAGTATTCTGAAAGACTTGTGAATGAATGAAACTAAGAATTCAGATGATAAGATTAGTTGCATAAGGGAACTACAGCTGGTAGAGAGTCCCTGAGTCCAGGAGCAGATGTTAAGGCTTTCATCTGATAGACAATAAAGCACAATTATTATATGCTTTTAAGTACAATATTCCACTTTGTTTTAAAAAAAAAAAAAAAGGATGGAGTGAAAATGTTCTACAGTTCCATTTCTAATAATGAGAGTTCAAAGTCATAAAATTCTGATGTGAAGGAATAGAAAAAAAAAACCTTAAACATTGAGTCACTTTTCAATGATAGAATTATTTGTCTTTGATTAATCTTGAGGATATTTCATTTCTGATTGTGTCTCCTTTCATCTATTTCTATTTCATACATTTCTTAGATACCAAAAACCCACTCCTTTGAAACTATAATAAGAAATTTCATTTTGTGCTGATTTTTTTCCTTTTTGCACAAAAAGGTATTATGTTTGTGAAGATGTTATAATAACAAGCTCAGCAGCAAGTAAGGCAAGGCCACCGGAAGCTCGGTAGTCTTCTATGACAGTTATTGTCTTGAAATAAAATGCCTAATGATGTCTCCTTGCAAGGGTAAACAATCACTGAGTCAGGAGTTCACCAAGGAAGAGAAAACAGCAGAAGAGAATGATGTCTCCTTGCAAGGGTCTTTTGGGATGTGAAATATGAAAATAAAGTGTGACTTCTGAATTTTTTTCTATTACCAGAATCTAATTAGCTCTCTTAAACCACAGACTGTAGAGTCCTAGTGAATTCACACTTGCATACGCCATGGATGCAGAGAGGTTGCTAAGGTAGCAGATAACCCTATGCTGGCAAAGCCTAGCTAAATATTCGGATAAACACAAAAGTCAGGTGAACAAGCAAACCCTTGCAGCCCCCTGAGGCACAGTCCAGCTAGCCTTGCCTACTCCTCTGTATTCTACAGGAATGCTAATTTTAATACCAGCCTGGATCTGTACTTAGCAAATCTCCAACCCTTGCACACAGATTTAGAATTGTACCTGACATATTCTAAAATGATACTTTGATTTTTCACTCTCAAACCATGCAATTTTGCTTTCTAAAACTTCAGCTGAGAATGAATGTATTTAACATTTGGCTTTGGCAGGAAGAAAATGTTTCAGTATAGAAATAGGTGTCTCCATGAACAGAATTGTTAATTCAAACTCTGTCTATGCAATTAAAGAGAATGGGAATGTAGCACGTAGTAGGTATTTAATGATGCCATTTCATACACTGAATTCCATCAGCTACGTGGTCACAACTCAAAATTACATGGGGGATTTAGAAAAGTCATGAATGAATTAAATGATGCAGGATAGGCCAAAAGTGACTAATGGTTCCATGACAAAATAGAGAACGAGGAGACGAGAGGCTCTAGGGAATGATCCATAGAAAAGAGCATGTGTCTCATCCTACCCCGTCCTTTAAAAATATAAAACCCGAGTGCAGGAGAGCTGCTCCCCCCAACCCCACACTCCATGCAGGGAAATGAAAAAGATGGACCCAGGAATTAATCCTAAAGACAGGACAATAAAGGGGAAAGCACTATATCTTATTTCTACCTCCAAATATGACTTGTGTGTGATAACAGGAATACAATGTCACATCTCGAGGCCACAGTCACATCTGCTAATGAAGGATTTGGAAATAAGCAGCTTAGATAATGCCCTGTTTGTGTATGAAGACACTAGAGGTTATTTCTTATCCTCAATTATTTAGCATAATTCTAAAACTTCCCAGAAAGAAACGTTGTTTTCAAACAAGCAATTTTAAAAATTGGAAGGACAGAATTATGAAACATGTTACAAAAATATCAAAGTTGGACTCCGGGGAAGATGAAAGTCCAATTAGGAACCTGGTGCAGCAGCTCATTTGTCAGAGGGAGGCAAGAAAATGGCCAAAGGCACAATCGTAAGAGGGTAAGAGGAAGCCCAGGCACCAAGGACCACGGAGAGCCACTCGGCCTCCTATTCTGGAAATGCTGTTCTGGGCCAAGCCCATTCCAGGTAAGTGGGCCCAATAGCAAACAAATAGGAAAGTCCTGTACTCAGGGTGCCTGATTCTAGTGAGGAGAGATGCACAAATAAATGAGCAATATGTTGGAGGGTCTGTGCTAAGAAGGGCATGAAGCAGGCTGGAAGGAGAGGCAGTGAGGAATGCTCCTGAAGACTGGCTGGTGGGCACAGGCCATCCTGAGGAGGTGACATGTGCACAGAGACCTGCAGAAATGAGAAAGCATCCAAGGAGATAACTCAGAGAAATAGCTCCAGCCTGGAGACCAGAACGTGCAGATGAAGCCCTAAGACTTGAATATATTCTTGGTGAGCTTGAAGAAATACAAGGAAACCGATATGCCTCTGGGAGGTGAGAGGTCAAGGGTGAAAGGTCAGTAGAATATATGGCCAGCTTAGGCACAACAGGCTGTGCTTTTTCCAAGTCAAGCAGGAAACCTGCAAAACACCTTTAGGGTTAACCTGTTCTAACTCACTCACTCTGGATGCTTTACAGAGAATGAATTTCAAGAAAGCAGCATCTAAGAGGAAACTTGCTCATGAGGCTGCTGCAATGTGCCAGCCAGAGTGGGGTTTGGACTCAAGTGCTGGTGACAGAGGGGCAAAAGGCGGTCAGTTTGTGCAGTCATTCTATAGACAGTGCTAACAGAACTCTCTGCTGTGTCGACATGACACCCCAGAGAGTGAAGTGCTGTCTCTGGGCCTTGTGCCACAAGATGAATCCTTGGCAGGGGAGACAGCAAATACAAGTGAAATCTCAGAAATGGGACTAGGCCGCCCTTGGTGCAAGGGAGTGACGGAGGCGCTGGGCTGGGTGTAAAGGGAGGTTGGCATATGATCTACTGCAGCTCTCTGTGCACACAGGCCCAAGGCTGGTGAGTCACAGGCAATTCCTGCCTGCCCTTGGGGTGGTTCAGCAATAACTGGGTCTCCTCTTTGTCAGAAACGAAGGTCCATCTTTAGTCTTTAGAGGGTATAAAAGGCCAGGGCCATTTGATGACATACTTAAAGTAAGGAAAAAGTGGTGCCTGGGTCGTGTCTGGAAAACAAAAAAAATCTGATTGGGAACTCAACCCCCTGGAGTTCAGAAATGGTCAATCTCAGGGAAAACAGGGCTTGCTCAGTGCTGGGCTGCTGACTGTCAGCTGTGGTCACATAATTGGCTGTAGCACCGTGTCACCATAATTTTCTTTTCAGAATATGCCAGAATTGAAAATGCTTGTTGCAACTGTATCACAGGGCTAGACAGACAGCTTTGACCAATCCAGCCACTGATTGGCATCTATGAGTTTTCCATCCCCACTGATGAGCCCTGGTGGTGCCTGTTAGTACAGTCTCAGGAAACCGTGTCTGCTGAGACACACACTCTCATAGCCACTACTCAAGTTTAATTGGTTGGCTCCCATGTTTTAATATATCATAAGTAATCTTTTAAAACACTTCACTTAAGATTTATCAGTTAACTTTGTGCATAAATTCAGTGTTAAGCTTATTCCTTTTTGGATAATCTTTAAACCCATGCTAAGGATTTCCTCACTTCAAAATCTCTAATTGTTCTTGACATTTTCTTAAGTTAATAAGAATTAACTGACAACACATAGTTTACTGCTTCATGCTTAAGACTTTCCGAGAAAGTTTAACATTTAGAAGATGAAATCGACAATAAAAAGCCAGAAAGAAAGCTGGCGTGTCACTTTCTGACTCCCCCTCCAGGCCCTTGAATTTCCAGGCTCATTCATTTGAACAGGTAAATTCACGGCGTGGACAAATCTCCAGCCAGACTGGCAGGGGTTTCAAGGAGGCTGTTTTCACAAAACCAGCCAGTTCATGGTTCATTTAGATCTATTTTAAGGACAAGGACGAGCCTCTGTGCTCAGAAATTTCTTCCGATGCTTAATCCAGGGTCTGTAGTGTAAGCATTATAGCTGCACCCCCTCATGTTATGAATTGTCTCTCTGGACTTTTCTTATACATTCCAAGTGCCCCTGGAAAGGTCAGTGCACTAAATCAATACAGGTAAGTTTATTGGAGTCTTTCCTCAGTGACGAGCAGTTTCCAGTAATATCACCAGCCATGGCAGGGGGGAGACAGGAGGGAGAGCTGCCCCTAAAGGATATGAAATGAATCCAAGAATGGCACAGGGATGGGAAGAGGGGGGGTGTCAAAAAGAAACCTCCTTATCCTACTTAAAACATGACTTTTCAAAATGGCTAAGGACAAACAGTTCATATGTGAGGAAAATGGGGAATGAGACAATGGAGTTGGCAAGATTGAGGTAGCTGGTGACCTTGGTAAGTACAGGGAATAAAAGTCCAGATGACTGGCATGAAGTGGAAACGGATCTTCCATTCTCATAGTACGATGGTGAGACTGGAGGAGTGAGCGGAGGGGTCCTTGGATCAGACTTCAAAGGCTGCTGTCTAAGAACACCTGGCGCCTACAGCCTACACAACACGGCGCCAGCAATCAGATGGATCCCAGCACTCTGGGTAAATACGATGTTGATGGAATTAACTGAAAAATTGGGTGAAAGGGTGTATAAGG